CTGTAGGAAATTTACAAGTAAAACTAAAAAAAAGGTAATGAAAGGCAATAATGAAAGAAACAAATGAGAAAATGAGATCTAAACCAGAATAAGACAGACAGAGTAAAACCAGTAGCAGAGAAGAGATCTGAGACTTCAAAATAGATTTGAAGAGTTGCTCCATAATTGGAAGAAGACTGGAGAAATTCTTCAATAAGTCAAAAGAGGAGCAATATCACCCTGCATTCAGGATTGTACAACTGATGTTTGTTTGTTTATTTATTTGTTTACTTACATTAGCATTTTAACTGTGTTTTAAATTGTTATTGTTTAATAGTATTTTAAGGGGTGGGTGGGATTGTGGGATATGTTATGTATTTTTTTTTTAATGTTGCAAGCCACCCCAGTTGCATTATGCAGAGGGGTAGGATACAAATATTTATTATTATTATTATTATCATCTGATCAAAGAGGAGGGAAAGTGTTCTTAATACTTCTGGTTTTTGCTATCTTCTTCCCAGTACCTAAGCTAGGGGTCATACCAAATGGACTGAAGTGCCCTGGATGTTTCTCAGAGGATCCCAGATGTGTACCCACAGAGCTAATAAGTTGCAATGGATGGGAAGACAATTGTGTCTACTATGATGTGTCTGTGGAACATGGTAAGATGCAAGTGATATACCTAATAGAAAAGGATATGTTTTAATTAATTCAACAAATTATCCCTGTCCTGCAAAACAGACAGGCATTGTATCAGTAAAAGCTAGGACTCAGAAGGCAACTCTTCTCTGTCATAAGAGTCTAGGATAGGATAGGATAGGATAGGATAGGATAGGATAGGATAGGATAGAAGAGTTTGCCACTGCCTTCTTCTGAGAGTGAGACTGTGAGACTTGCCTAAGGTCACTCAATATATTTTCATGGCTGAGGAGGGAAATCAAACCGTGGTATTCAGAGTAGTAGTCCAATGTTCAAACCACTACACTACCCTGACTCTCAGTCTACTGCAGGCTAAGACTTAAAGCCTGTCAGATTAAGATACAAACTCCCAGCCTTGGGAAGGAGTGAAACAACACTTGTTTTTCTCTTTCTTAGCCACAACATAAAGCATAGAGGATCAAAGTGTGAAGAAACACCCCCCTTCCAGTGATTTGCACATTTGGGTAGATGACAATGGTTGTCCATATAGATCCAGACCTATCTTGCACATGGGTCCCATAGTGCTATAGTTCAGGTCTCTGGCTTGATCAGACTCTGAAAACAAGCCTCCAGCAGTATGTTAACATGTTCTAAATCCAACCCATCCACACATCCCTGTCAACTGTGACCAATTAATCAATTTACAAGCAGAATAGCATCCATTACAACTTAAACCAACCACTGATTAACCTGTGCACAATAGACCCTCTTCTCCAAATTGTTGTTTTTGTTGTTAAGTGCATTCAAGTTGATTTTAACCTATTGTGAGCCTATGAGTGAGGGACCATCAAGTCACTCTATCCTCAACCACCCTGCTCAGATTTTGCAGAGCCATGGCTTCCCTGATTGAATCTATCTAGCTAGTATGATGCTTTCCTCTTTTCCTATTGCTCTCCACTTTACCAAACATTATCTTCTTTTCTAGTGAGTAATTCTTCTCAAGATATAACCAAAGTATGTCAGCCTCAGTTTAATCATCTTTGCATATAGGGAGAGTTCAGGTCTGATTTGTTGTAAGACACATCAATTTGTTTTTTTAGCATGATATTCCCCATGCATTAGCACAAATGAGCCAAAATTTCTTTCTCGGCTTCCTAGGAGAAGCTTGCACAGAACTGGGGTGGAGGTGGGAGGTTGGCAGGAAAAAGTCACCATGGAGAAAGAGACCTTGACTTGACCTCTTGGCAGTGGCATATGATGGCATGCAATGTCACTTCCATACCTCCCTCTTTTCCTGCCATCCTTGCAACTGGTGTCCCCCATGCCACATAGAAATACTGGCTAGGTAATAGGATTGTGGTATATGCGAGGGTGAGGACATTTTACACTGCTTCTTATAGTGCCACTTACTTACCTTCTCATGTTTCACATGTGAAAACTGGGACATGTATGGCCAAGCAACATCAGAGTGTCAAGGTGGCAAAAGTTATTAATAAGGAAGAATACAGAATACAGAAGCTAGGAAAGGCTGCAACAATTTGTTCTTGTCTGAGTCTACTAGGAAGGGAAAGACTCTGCCCCTGCTTTCCTATTCTGCTGAATGGAGTGCAAACTATTTTGCACTTTGAATCCAGTTTGCAAGTTGAGGAGAAAGTGAGAGGAGGAGAAAAAAAATGGGGACATTTTAAAAGAAGCTTAAAATGTAAGATGGCAGAAGACTAACTGGGATTGTTAGTAGGAAGATATGCACATGTATAAAAAAATCCCAGGAGAGGCTACTGGGATATTGGCATCACTATGGAGTAAGCATCTCTTTCCCCTCTGCAAGATATCCTCATTACTGTCATTTGTGACCCATCATACAGATTTTTTTTGTTTTGCTTTTGTGTCAGTGTTAGTGATGGTAGTGGTACAATCACTCTTAATGCTGTTGCAGATTGTAATCCCCCAATCCATACTCAGCCTTCCTAACTTTTCTAAGCCCCAAAATACAAAGCGAATGCAAAAAAATATTCAAACAAGTTCACTGGTATAAGTTAATTCTTTCATGTCATTGGGCAGTTGTTAAGGCTAGTGTGTCAAGGACTCACTAACCTGACTTTTGCATGTGTTTCATTTTTGTAAAGTATATTTTCTTGTGTGGCTTGCAATGGAGGTGTCTAATTCCAGAACTGGGTGTAATTCCAGGCCTCTCCAATGGTTTGTTCAGTACTAGCCACTGACAGTCATTACTGCTATAGCATAAGTTTGTTTTGATGTTTTGAAATGCTGTACGCCACCCCGATTGCCTAGCAGAGGGGCGGGATATAAATAAAAATTATTATTATTATTATTATATTGATGGTAAATGATGCAACAGATGGTACAGAGCAGAACTGGGCCCCCTCCAAAATTCTACCTAGACTACCTTCAGCCAACAATCAAATTCCCCATTGCTGGATATATGTAGAGCCCTTATGCTGGGCTATATCTTCCACAAGGCAGGAACAATGCAAGATGGATTTCCAATGGTTATATAGTTCAGAAGCAAATAAAGAAAATCAAACTGCACAAGCATAACCCACCTCTTCCATTCCCAAAGCTAACTTTGCAAACTGATTAGCAGCAACAGAGGGAAAAAATCCCCCAGTCTATACTCAGCCTTCATAACTTTTCCCATCCTCAAAGCAAATGCAAAAAGGATTCAAATGAGTTCACTGGTAGTTCAAAAACTAGTTTTCTGCTCTCTGTAAATCTAGCCATTATATGCAAGAGAAGGAATTAATCTTTGGACACAGTTCTACAGGCTTTCCTAATGGGCTGTCATTTTGTCCCCTTCATTCTTTCAGAGGGAAAGATCTACAATCATGCTAAACGTGGCTGTGGGACTAAGCATGCCTGTATGAATGAGCCACGAATTTTTGGGGTTCCCGGATTGTATATGGAAATTGTGAAGAGTCCTCAGTGCACTCCTGCTCCCAAAATATTAACCAAAATTGGAAAGTAACTACTTCCTCAGAAAATGACCCACTCCCACTCCATGAAGAAATGGCAGACTCAAAGTCTGTGGAAGTATCTCACCTGTGTTCAACTCCAGCATCTGATATGACATTTTTTAGCAGGAAATTTTCACTGATATGTAAGGCGGGATAATTCTTTTTTTTTTTAAATCACATTGAATAAAATTATGTAAAGAGTGAAGAAGATTTGAATTTGCAAAGTGTATCATTATTTCCTTCAATATTCAATATTCCTCTTTCACTGTAAGCAATCAATTTTCATTTTAGAATTCACTGCCAATATAGTTCTTTGCAATCTAGAAATGTCATATGTTCATATTTAATTAACAACCTAAATGTATACAGGTTTGTATTTTCAAATCCCAACTTTCAAAAGTGAGCTGATACACACCAAGCAATAATATTCTTAGAAAAGCCTATCTTGTATTAGCCAGAGTTGACTGGCATACCAGGTATGATGGATTATAAACTCAGTAGGGACTAATAGTTGGTGCATACAACTACAAATGCTACTCGGAGCCTTACTGCACAAGTACACTTCTCAATGAAAATGGAATTATACCTGTTTGTATATTAGCTATTACTACACATCTTCACAATTGCACTACTAGGGCAGCTTATGCCATTACATTCACTTCCTGACTCCCCCTTAACTATACATTCCACACAAGGATTGCATAGCACAATGAATGTGTAACTCCACATATAGAGATTTCTGCCAGGCAATTCCAATGTAGGATCTCAAGCTAAGGATCTTGATAGGACACTGAAGGATAAATCAAGTTAGAATGGGCTGTGGGGGGAAAGAAAGGTTAACCTTTTAAATTTCCAGCTTCATGGGTCATTCATTGCCAGTATTTGACAAAATACTATGAGCTGCATGGTCCAGTTGTGGAAAGAGCAAGCTTTCCCTTTCAATATGATCAGAAAAACTACATCTGTTGACATTGAGTCTTTCACACAATAGCTGATAGAAGAGCAACATTTTACCTTGTTTTCTGGCAAGTATAGTGAAAGAGCTACCCTGTTAAAGAGGTGTAAGGTACACATTCACACTTCATTGGAGATGTCATCATGGTTGGTAAACCCATGGCAGGTACACATTTCTGCCAATAATGGATGTTGCCTGAGCCGGATATACTCAGGAACGAATTGTTCCACATACATCAGTCCTGGGCTGTTTTTCCCCCTGTTCCTAAAATTAGAAATCATTCTGAACCACTCATTATAATCCTTTTATAATACTGTGAGTCGTGCCTTCCAGCTGTAGTCAGAGCCAGATCCTAAGGAAGGCAGGACTAGAGTCTAAAGTGGATGATTTCATATAAGTGACCCTTACATTAGTGACCCTTACATCAGCCAAGAACCTCTCCCTAATTTACCTGAAGATGCCAGGTATTGACCCTGGCACCTTTTCCATGAGAAGCATGTGTTCTACCACTGAGCTACACCCTCCTCACTTGGCTGTTTTATGTTTCTTGTAAGGAGATGTCATCATGGTTCTTGAGTCCAAGAAAGGCACACATAGGACCGGATGCATCCAGGAACTATTATCACATTCACTTTCTCTCTCTCTCTCTCTTTCTCTCTCACATACACACACACACAACCTGCTGGTTTTCTGTCCTTCAAGCTGTAAGCTATACTGGATTGAAAAGTCTTCAGTGCACATACACATGCACACACCCCTTGAACCTAGTCCTGCATGTTTCTCAGAACAATGAAGACACTTTCCATGACCATTCCTATCTGCTTCCTTCCAGCCCTGTTAGCAACAGGTGAGTGGGCTGCTTTTAAAGCCATGGAGCTGTTGCATCACCAACTATTCTCACACTTTGTGCAGAGTTTGGAACTAATGGGTGATTTTGCTTTTGAGGTAAGGAAAATATAGCCAATCCATATTCCAAAAAGTAGCACTGATGTTATCTCTTTCATGTAGTGATTTTTTATTTACATGTGAAAGTTATCTTTCAAAGCATTTTCAAAAGACTTTTAAGGCATTAAGGGATGCATTCTGCATTGTAGAAATAATGCAGTTTGACACCACCTTAAGTGCTGTAATTCCATCCTATGGAATCCAGAGATTTTATAAGGTCTTCAGCCTTTTCTGCCAAAGAGTGCTGGTGCCTCACCAAACTACAAATCACAAGATTCTGTAAAATGGAGCCACAGCAGTACATGTGGTGTCGAACTGCATTATTTCTACAGTGCAGATGCACCCTTAGAAGTATATCAACTTTTTTTAGTTTAGTTGTATTTTTAAAAAGTTTTTCTGGTCACTCTTAGCAAACCTACAGGGTTGTTGTTTTTTTAAAAAATAAATTAACCAAGAGCAATTTGCAATAGGTTAGCTTTTTAAAACACAACTTGTACATACAGAACACTTTTGCAAATCAAATAACAACAGCTAGGAAGTTGTGTATATTGTGTATGCCATCCTATTATATATCAAACCGCCTTGAGTACCTGTACCGGGAGGAAGGCAGAATATAAATAAATAAATAGCAATAGCAATAGCAAGTACATTTCTATACTGTTTATCAGTGCTGTTAAGCACTCTTTAAGTGGTTTTCAAAGTGTAAGCTAATTGCCTCCAACAAGCTAGTTACTCATTTTAGTAACCTTGGAAGGATTGAAGGCTGAGTCAACTTGAAGCTCCTGGCTGGTATTGAACTCACAACTTTGTGGTTTGTGAATGAGTGGCTGCAGTACAGGCATTTAACCACTGCACCATTATAATAATATTATAATGCACTTGAACAGTTAATACAGTCTAATGAGTTGTGATTTTTCTACAAACTTATGGAGAACCTACTCACTTGACATTCCTTCAAATATGTTGCTTTCAAAAGCTAGGATTATTTGTTTATCTCTGATGAAGCACTGAACTCCTGCATGATGTCAGTGCATGTGTCAACGACGAGAATGAATTTTTACATACAACTGTAGATGCACCAAAAGTGAAGCCTGTTACATCCAAAGTGCATATGTGTGGAAAGGCTTCCTTGTACATGCAAAATGTTTTAGTAAGACTGTTAGTAAGTGTCAGAATTAGAGGTCTACTGTTTTCTATCATATCATATTTTTGGATGCCTCAAGTTTCTAAATGCTCAGCTGAAGTTTTATGTTGCAGTGCTAGAAATTTGGGGATTGAAGGGAAATTGCATTTTGGTGGTAGAATTTGATGTCTTTATTTGCCCCTCTGTCACTACACCTCTGGTGGCAGTGCTTTATTGCAATACAGAAACAGTTACAAAATAAAACACAATAAAACACACAAAGCTCTTTCTTTTTCAAGGTCATTTAAATATCCTTCCAAATGCAGGGGAGTAAGCATTCCTTCTGCATTCCTTTGGGTCATACAGAAACCATATGGTTTCTCTCATATGGCAAGAGTAACCTTTGAAGGTCCCCAAGATGGGAGGTCAAGCTGCTGTTTCTCTCCAGCAGGACTTTGCCTTCAGTGTGAACGCTGCAAAAGTGCCACTCGCTCCTGTACTGGACCCCTGCAGACTTGCAGAGATGTTGAAAATGCCTGTGTCACTCTCACAACAGAGACTAGAATGGGTAGGTGGCTCAGCTTCTTGGGCAGAATGAAGGAGGTTGTCCTATTTTCTAGACAGTGGATGGCCATGTTTTGAAGGTCTTAATACCATTTTCAGCCACTGAAATTTGAAGTGGCCATGCTTATTTGCAAGTTATGAGTTACATTTTTAGCCTGTCTTCAACCACTGTACCATACTGGCTCTTTCTTTCTTATTCATCCAGGCAAAGTTGTCAAAGTGGTTACTTACAAAGGATGTACCAAGCTGAGGTATTGTCCTCTGGGTCCCTTCACCATCACTACTGACCTGGAGGAACGTATACGGAGCAATTCCGAATGCTGCTGTTCAGATCACTGCAACAAAGGAGGTTTGAGATGTATGCATTGTATTTCGTGAACTTTTAAGCACCTCTTTCTCTACTAAGTATATTAATCAGACTATTCTATTTGCCAGGTCTAGCAGGGAGCTTTTTTCACACCATGAAATTATACTACTATGAATCCACTTGGGGGCCATGACTACATCTGATGGAATACTGGGTTCTCTAGTTTGTTATTGCTGTGTGTGCCTTCAAGTCATTTTTTTTATTTATGGAGACCCTAAAGTGAACCTATCATGGGGTTTTCTTGGCAGAATTTGTTCAGAGGAGTTTGCCTTTGCCTTCCTCTGAGGCTGAAAGAGTATGATTTACTCAAGATCACCCTGTGGGTTTCCAAGGCCGAGCCTGGAAAACCTGGTCTCCCAGTGTCCTAGTCCATCAAACTATAAAACCTAGGATTCCATAGGTTGTTGTCATAGCAGCTGAAGTGGCATTATAGTGCTATAATTCAGTAGTATGAAAGGGTCCTTGCTGTCTTCACCCCAATTGTATTTCCCCATTTGATAGTTTATTTGTTTTCTCATGATGATCTGTTCCATACCTACACAAGCAATAGTGTGATAGCTATGACTATACAGTTACATATGTGATTATTTCAGTAAACAGAAAGAGCCTTGTGTTGTCCTGGAATTCTTGAGGGGGCATGTATCAGGTTGAGATCAGGCAGCTTTCAGGTCACCCATCCCTAATCTGTATGTTTCAAACATTTTTGACTGGACTTACTTCCCAATGACCCTATATATTGCTTGGTTCCTAGTGCCAGTACTGGGTAAACTGAACCAGAGATGGTGTCCTGGATACAGTTCAAAGAACTCAAAATGCAGCATTGATGATAAACTTCATTGCCATGGTCGGGAAGTCAACTGTTTCTATCTTGCTGGATTCATTGAGGCAGGTAGAGATGACAACTTCAAATTTCAAAAATACTATCCTACAACTGGCTGTTATCCAGAGCAGTTTTATATCATTTTAACATCCATGGTGCCATCCTATAGAATACTGGGATTTATCATATAAACGTAGAACTCTCTGATGTGCTCCACTGAACTATAGCAGAAAATTCTAGATATTTTATTAAAATGCCAGCACTCCAAAGGATAGAGCCATGACAGTTAAATTGATTTCAAATTGATCAAACTGTGTGGCATAGATACTCTTTAAGTGGTTTTTGAGGTTGAGGTGGAGCTAGGTGGAATCAGAGGAACCACTATGAGTTGGAATGGAGTCAAATCAGACTTCATAGGAATGGGTGAAGCATGGTGCGATTTGGCATTTATTAGCTTTTTAATAGTAAGAAATTGTTTGTTTGGCCCAGACGGCTGGCTGAGGTAAGGGAACAATTTGTTCTTTTTAATATAAATGGACCAACATTTACAAATGTCTTCATACTTGGGTTTTAAATAAAGTCTCTCTCTCTGTGTTTTAAATCAAATGTGGGGAAACAAAAACTGGCAGATCTTTCTTGGACTATATCCTTGCAGGGAACCCATCACTGGAGCACACAGTAGTGGAAGATGGCTTCTACTTTAGGGGCAATGAATCTGTTCTGGGTTTTGGTCCAAATTCTGAAAGAACCATCCAAAGTGTTGAAGCCTATCCCACAATAAATTAAGCACCTTGGATAGCTCTGTTTAGATTAAGAATGTTTTATTTCTCCATTGACATTGGCATCAGTAATTACATTCTCATGTATTACATTGCTTTTGAGATGAAAGTTTGTTTCATCTCCATTGTAGGTGGGGGTGCAGGGAGATATGTTGCTTTACTGAGAAGCTCTGCCCTATCCTGAGTTGGAATGGAGTCAAATCAGACTTCATAGGAATGGGTGAAGCATGGTGCGATTTGGCATTTATCCTCCTTGGTAAGCAAACATCTAGCAAAAATGGCCATCAAGAGAAAACAGTGAGGGAGATGAGAGAGTCTTCTATAGTAGGTACACACGCTCCAAAAAAGTCTTGATCTGGTATGAGCAAATGTAAGCTTTGCATATATGAAAAGGTCAATATGCCATGCATTCCGTATTTGTGACATGCCCCACTGTGTGCAGGTAGAGATCTAGAAATTCATAAACTGGGAAAAAATTGTGCCAGGAGCAAAATAAAACAAAACATGCTTCCCATAACGGCACATGTTACTTCATAAGTGCTATGCTCCAAACTGTACATGTTAAATGCTGAGTATCAGCCTAGTTAAAGTGCATAAAAAGAACATAAGAAAAAGGACAAACTATGAAAACAAGAACCAAAGAATGACAAGAAAGGTGTCACGATGTGCAACAAAATGGCTAGTATTCTGTGACATATATGTGCATGTCTCTTTTTGGACAGAGTGTAGGGGGCTAGAGTCTAGCTCTTTGCATTACATAAAAAACCAGCAACTCTCAAGGCCCAGGAGGAATCACCACCGCTGCTACCTATGAGTGGAGAGCAGAGAAGAGGTGAGGGGCACTTCAAACAATGAAGATGCAGCTGATCATGAAGGGAAGGAAAGGAGGCTGCATTCTATGAGTGCACCCTTGTGTCTGGCCCCAC